ACCTGAAAGGACTTGAGTGAATTGCCCTTGGGAAATGTGGTCTGTTCTTTAGTAGGCAGATAGGGATGTTTTGCTTAAAGGAAGCCAGCCGTATATATAGCACAGTGCATTCACTCCCTTCTTTGTCTTTGCTTCTATCGTAAAGATTCTGATTGGAACACATGTATCTGCAAGATTGCTCTCGTACGCAAGATCCGTACGATAGCTGAATCAGATGTACGTTGTGGACATGCTTTGCTAAGCTTCGGTTAATCATTGCTGATCCGTTTTTCCTGAAAATGTATATAAGAAGATGTGCAGTAAACCTCGGTGCCTCGGGCTGTTGGCCCGGGGAACCCTATGCCTCGCTATACCGTCGTCTCTTTTTCTCCGTTCCTTTGCCGCCCCAGGTCCGCGGACCATTGAGGTCGACAAATAACGAAAAATCAGATGTGAAGAGTGCCAACGTAGAAGAAAATACAGGATCCTGTGGAATACGACCAAAAAAGGTGGAGTGCCTCCGTTTGCAACTATGTGCATGGAACTGGAAGGCATTATGCTAAGTGAAATTAGAGAAAGACAAAAAGATCATATGACTTCGGTCATATGAGGACTTTGAGAGACAAACGAGATGAACATAGGGAAAGGGAAGCAAAAATAATATAAAAACAGGGAGGGGGACAACACATAAGAGACTCTTAAATATGGAGAACAAACAGGGTTGCTAAAGGGGTTGTAGGAAGGGGGGATGGGCTACATGGGAAAGGGGCATTAAGGAACCTATTCCTGAAATCATTGTTGCACTATATGCTAACTAACTTGGAGGTAAATTTTAAAAATTAATCGAATTTTTTTAAAATGGGGGGGGGGGTTGGGCAGGAGTACCCAATCCACACCGGAGAAGTCATGGAAGGCTTCTCGGAGAAAAGCTGGACGTGGAGCTAACAGGGAATATACTTGGCCCTTCCTTCCGCCGGAGCAGAGAGAAAAGGGGAGCAGGTGGCAAGAGGGGAGGCTGCAGAAGGTGGCAGCCCCAGATCACAAAGGGCCGCGTGTGCCTGGAAGCTTCTGAAGGTTCTCCAAAGAGCAAGCTATTAAAGACTTCTATGCAGGGGCGCCCGGGTGGCTCAGTCGGTTGGGCGGCTGACTTCGGCTCAGGTCACGATCTCGCGGTCCGTGAGTGCGAGCCCCGCGTCGGGCTCTGGGCTGACAGCTCGGAGCCTGGAGCCTGTTTCGGACTCTGTGTCTCCCTCTCTCTGCCCCTCCCCCGTTCATGCTCTGTCTCCGTCTCAAAAATAAATAAGCGTTAAAAAAAAATTAAAAAAAAAAATAAAAGACTTCTATGCAGGAAGAGGACACTATCTGGCAATTAAAAAAAAAAACACCCTTTCCAAAACCATCTTGTAGAAGGGACTCGATGAAAGAGGACGCAGATCTCCACTGAGGACAGGAAGACCATTTACAGGAGATTAATTCATTCAATGCTCAAAGGGTTGAGCTCAGCAGCACTTCGATTCTGAAAACCACTCACCCTGCTGCGTGAAGTTAGGGTGAGAAATCAACCTAAATGGTTTTGTGGATGCAAACAGGTCCCCACAGTATCTCCTGGAGGAATTTTTATATCCAGCAAAAGGTATTCAGGGTCTTGGGCAACAGACGCCTTCACTGAGCTAGTCTTCGGCATTCCCTTCTGTCTCTCTTGACCTCTAGTCCTTCTGAGGGTGACCTCTAAGTACCTCCTGCCTGCATTAATTCCTCTTTTCTGAATTCAATCCCCACTTAATTCAATGCCTATGCCTCAAAATGAGCCATGATCTGGTCCCCCACATACATGAGAGGTTGAGAAACACCAGCCTTGTGAGTACCAAAGCACTGGGTTGGGATGAGGTACTAAATCGCCAGGCGGGAGTACAACAGCGGAGGGTTAAGAGTGGTGAAACCCAAGATCGACACCCCTTCGCGAGACAGAGCAGGGAATCTCCTGAAGACTCACTACGGTTGGTGTGCCATGGGTGGCCAGAGCCAGAGAAGAGATGCCTCCGTGCAATCTCCAGACAAACCAGACAACAAGCCCGCCAGTTTTACCGGCTCAAGGGAAAACATTTGCGAGGCATTCCAGAATCCACGGGGCCGCTTACTTTTACCATGGACTTAAAACCAGTAAACCTGCATGGGGTCGACATTAGCACACGCTTAAAAAATCTTTCTGAAAGGTAAAGTTCGTCTTGTTTACCGCAGGAACACCTATTGCATCCGGATTCAGAGCTGCCTCGTTAGAAGATTAAGGACTGATGTGGAACCCATCAAAATATCGTGGGCAGTGATCCTGTATCTTACGTGAACAGGACACTGAAGTGGGCTTTGCAGGGAATGTTCCTCAACTAAGCAGCACCGTCCAGGTGGGCTCTCTGTGGAAGATAAAAGGCTTCTATTTATCACCTATTAAGAATGCCTGTTGTCAGGGGGTGGGAAAAACCTGTGACTGCAAAGTCCCCTGTTGGCCTGTGACTGCAAGCCAAGTCCCCTGTTGGCCTGCTTCCCGATTCGATTCCCAGCGCCATGGTTGAAGGCGGAAGCTGAAAATGACACAGACGGACAGCTCGTAGGGCGTGCTGACAAACCTCTCACATGGGTCCCAGGGCCGTTTAGTTTTTAAATCCCATTCCCTTCGCTTTATTGTCGAAGCGCTCTCCTTTAGGACTTAGCAGCTTCGGTACAACATACACCCCTAATATCAGCTTCCGTCTCCTACCCACATATCTCAAGCGTGTGGGACACCCACGGTTCCTTTTACTGCTTTTCTTAGAATTCGTGTTTCACATAAGCGACGTTGCCGTGCTCGTCTGATTCACGTTCAGGTAACAAAGAACAGCAACATGCCTCTGTTTAAGGAAGTTGAAGAAAATGCGAAGATAAGGAGTGGTGCAGGTTCTGCAGGTCACAGAATGCAAAACAAGGCAGAATATTGGAGGGCAGGGGCGCCCGGGTGGCTCAGTCAGCTAAGCGTCCGACCGACTCTTGGTTTCTGCCCAGGTCATGATCTCACGGTGCCTGGGAGTGAGCCCGCGTCAGGCTCTGCACTGACTTGGGATTCTCCCTCCCTCCGTCTCTGCCCCTTCCCCACTCACACACACACTCTGTCCCTCTCAAAATAAACAAACTTAAACAATAGCAATTAACACAATATTGGAGGGCAGAAACTTGCAAATAAACGAATGTCACAGATACTCCAGAAAGCTAACCGTTAGTAAAATAAGGCTACCGCCTAAGAAACGTGCAGTGTTGGGGCACCTGGGTGGCTCAGTCGGTGAAGCGTCCGACTTCGGCTCAAGTCATGATGTCACGGTTCGTGAGTTCGAGCCCTACGTCGGGCTCTGTGCTGACAGCTCAAAGCCTGGAGCCTGCTTCGGACTGTGTGTGTGTGTGTGTGTGTGTGTGTGTGTGTGTGTGTCTCAAAAATCAACAAACATTAAAAAATAAAAAATAGGGGCGCCTGGGTGGCGCAGTCGGTTGGGCGTCCGACTTCAGCCAGGTCACGATCTCGCGGTCCGTGGGTTCGAGCCCCGCGTCAGGCTCTGGGCTGACGGCTCAGAGCCTGGAGCCTGTTTCCGATCCTGTGTCTCCCTCTCTCTCTGCCCCTCCCCCGTTCATGCTCTGTCTCTCTCTGTCCCAAAAATAGATAGATGTTGAAAAAAAAATTTTTTTTAAATAAAAAATAAACAATGTGCGGTGTTGGTTCACATTTTACCAATATGTTCGTTCTAGACCCTGTTCTGCATTCCACTGTCAACTACTGTTCATGAACAGGCACTGAGCAACCAGACTACAATGTGAAGAACTGAGGAGGATGGGGTAGGGGAGGCTTTGCCCAGGAACGAAGGGTGTCCTTTTTCCATTGGGCCGCTTTCGACCTCATCGCCCACCAGCCACCAATAAACACCAGAAGGTGAACTGCCATTCACCAAAGGATACTTGAGGTTTCCGAATCTTCTTTTGCACACTGGGTAACCAAGCACAACTGATAAACCGTAACGTGTCCGGTCAAGACATTTAAAATATTAGGATGCTTTGAGTTCAGTAATGAGGATCACTGCATTCGCTAAATACTCTTTCTACTCTTGGTACTTAGAAGATGCTCATTCTTTAATCGCGTGGTTCTGCTTCTCATCACATTGGGGGCACCTTGGCAAGCATACAGTCGGTGCTCAATAAATGGAGGCAATATTACTGAACTTTGAACCATGTTGCCATCACACTCATTACTATGAAGTAAAGGGACACGTTTCACAAGGCACGTTAAGCAAATGTGCCTTCTTACTTTATAGTTACTCCCCACATATATAAAAATATTCATATCCCACAGATAAAACTCGTTCCACTGTACCCACATCTGCTCCAAAACACACGACTGTCTTGGGTGGCTTAAGCGTATTGGTCTCATCACAACAATTCATAGAAGGAACAATTTGAGATAACAGTGAATTATATCCCCCTAGCAAGAACTCTGAAATAAATCTAAGGGTGCCCAGTGTATGTAGTATCTATTCCTAGATAACTGAAGGCTAGAGCAGTTATGCAACCGTGCAAGAGGTGGCCTTTGATGGATTCAACCCATCAAGAATCCATGTGCTTTGGAACAGATGTGGGTGCAATACCAAAAAAAAAAAAAAAAAAAAAAATTTACAGGGTGGTTACAAAAGGAAAGTAAAGGTAGAACACATTTTGACAGTCCCAAGCAAGGCAATGGGCTAGCTAGTCCGGCTTTGTCTCGAGAGAGGGGGATGTGCTAAATAAAAAGATGAAGGAATATCACATATCCAGGTGAACATCAACTCAGCTTAACTAAGTTTAAGGAAGGAAAGGTTCCCTTTCCAGACTGGAAATGCAAGGAAAGAGTTCGAGTTTTACTTTTCTCTGTCATCTCACGGCAAGTGGACTGAACACAATAAGGCAGAAGAAAGACTATGTACAACGAACATCTCCCCATTTCCGCCACCCACCCGCCCCTAGGAACCACTCTTCTACTTCTATGTGGCTGATGGTTTTCGATCCTATATATAAGTGAGATAGATTATACAGGTTTTTTCCTCTCTGTGTCTGGCATATTCACTATGAATGTATCAAATCATCATAAATATACAATTTTTGTTTAAATCATTTAAATTTTTTTAAGTTTAATTGTGAGAGAGAGAGAAAGAAACAGACAGAGACAGAGAGAGAGATTGGGGGAAGGACAGAGAGAGAATCAGAAGCAGGCCCCACACTGTTAGCATGGAGCCCAACATTAGGGCTTGATCGCACAGACCAGGAGTCAGGACCTGAGCCGAAATCAAGAGTCTGATGCTTAACCGACTGAGCCACTGAGGCGCCCCAAAACATTTTTTCAAACGAGAAAGCTAGATCTCAATTTGAAGAGGAATATTTGGAAACAGCCCATTTTCTGAGTCCCAGATTTATACCCAAAGGAAGAACATCAAGTTTTTCCTCTCATCTTTGAACTCCTAATAATAAAAACAGGTAGTATTCATAAAGCACTTCGAGTAGTGCTTTAGATATAGTGACTCATTTAGTCTTCAACAACCACCATATGGGAAGACATTAATCACATCCCCACTTTGCAGATAAGGAGACCAAGGCAT